TTTCGAGGCACCGTCAATGGCTCTATCACCGCCGCGGCCGTTGGTCCCGAAAGCTGTGATTGAGAGCTTGCCTTTGTTTCGTGATGTATCTTCATCTGAAAGGTTGAATTTATTCATTCGTAAGACTCACCTTTGTTGTGTGTTGTGTGATTTTAATGATAACTCGAAATTGGGACTCGAAAAAGAGATAAAGCGAAAAACATTGTATGAGTTGGTTGATTTTATTCAATCTGGTTCAAGTAAAATCAATGAAGCCATGCTTGAAAGTTTAATTATGATGATATCTGTTAACATTTTTAGGTGTTTGCCACCTGGTTCACACGAAAACACAGGGTCTTTGATTGATATTGTGGACCCTGAGGATGATGATTCGTGGATGGATCCTGCCTGGCCACATTTGCAAATTGTTTATGAACTTTTGTTGAGGTACATTGTGTCGTCCGAGAAGGATACGAAGTTAGCTAAAAAGTATATTGATCATACTTTTGTGTTGAAGTTGATTGATTTGTTTGATTCTGAGGATCCGCGAGAGAGGGAGTTTTTGAAAATGGTGCTTCATAGGATATATGGGAACTTCATGGCGTATAGACCCTTTATCAGGTGTGCAATAAATAATGTGTTTTATAGGTTTATATTTGAGACAGGGAGACATAGTGGAATTGCAGAGTTGTTGGAGATTTTAGGGAGTATTATTAATGGCTTTGTCTTGCCAATGAAACAAGAACATAAATTGTTTCTTGTACGGGCACTGATGCCATTACATAAGGCTAAATGTATTTCCATGTACCATCATCAATTGACTTATTGTGTTACACTGTTTGTTGAGAGGGATTATAAATTGGCTGATATTGTGATTAGGGGGTTGTTGAAGTATTGGCCAGTGATAAATTGTCAAAAGGAGGTTTTGTTTCTTGGAGAACTCGAAGAAGTTTTGGATTTAACAAGACCTGCAGAGTTCCAAAAGTGTATGGTTCCTCTATTCAGACAGATTGGACGCTGCCTTAATAGCTCCCATTTCCAGGTTCGTGATCATTGATAGCTTCACTCTTTTGTATGTATTAACATTATGAGTTAGACCTGTGACATTAATTTATCTGTTTATAGATGCAGATTTTTTTTTTTTTTTTCACATTACTCTGAATCTTTTTGGCTGAATTGCAGTTAATTCCCCATAAATGAACATGCTACAGTGTGGCAAAAAGCTCAGGGCTGTTAATTATTTTTGAATGACAGAATGAGAGAGTTTTAGGGTCAATAGAATAATCTCAATAACAATTTGGATAATTGTTTAAGACTATGGTTTGACCAATTTGGATAATGATTGAAGGAACTAGAAAAGAATTACTTTTGTATATGTAAGTTTTATTCAAAGCATGATGAGATTAAATCTACTGGTTTACACACAAGCAGACACATAAATGTAGTATGCATTTGCTTGTTAGTATGTTTTTGTTGGTTGAATTTGTTAAACTGATATAACCAGTAAAATGCATGCACATTTAGAAGATTTTTTACCTTAAAGCTCACATCAAATTCAAAGAACTCTCTAGCTATATATGAGTTTTATTTACGAGTATGTTTCTGTTGTTTGAATTTGTTACATCGATAACAGGTAATATGCATGCATATTGCAGTAGAATTCTTGTTTGAGAATCACATTCTCTTAGAGAGAGTATTATCACCTATATCTCGTGTTATTTAGATGATAAATATAGAACTTGAATGTTTTGTTCTTTAGATGGTCAATATAGAACTTAAATGTTTTGTTCTTTGTTGTAATCCTTTGGGCCTTACCGGGCAGCTAGTCTTTGTTTTGCGGATAGTTTGTTCACTTTCTTGTATATCTTTTCATTGTTAACACCATTTTTTTTTTGTTTCTTAACTAAAAAAATGTATAATTCGCCATGTATTCAGTTAGGGAGGGAGGGAGGGAGAGGAAATCATTTATATCTGTTATGATTAAGTGATATTCTTTACTGGGTGTGTTGCCAGAAGTGCCTCATCTGATTAAAGTTTCCCTTCTTTTCTCTCTGTAGTTTGACTGCCTTTATGGTGTTGCTATGTGGTTGAATTTTGTATTCTAAAGTAGTCTCATAGATTAAGTTCTAGTATGAGCTATAATTAACTAACCATAATGAAAAGTTTGATTGGCTGTACAAAGTTGTAATTAGTTTTTCAATTGTTGAAACATTCAATATTTCCTCCTTAATTTCTCTTAATTGTTAGGGGGCATTTCTTCTATCGCTTATTTAATGCAGTTAATTTGTTTGAAATACAGTTCAGGGACAAGTTTTAGAAATTTATCACCATCTGTTGCAAAAAGTTATCTTCTATGGAAAGTGTTTTTTTACTGTAAAGAATCATTTCAGGTTGCTGAACGAGCTCTGTTCTTGTGGAATAATGAACACATGGTAGACTTGATTGCTGATAACCGAAATGTGATTTTCCCAATAATCTTCGAATCTTTGGAGAAGAACATGCAAACTCACTGGAACCAGGCAGTCCACGGGCTTACTGCCAATGTGCAAAGGATGTTCCTAGAGATGGATGCTGATTTATTCGAAGAATGCCAGAGGCAGCATGAAGAAAAGGAAGCCAGGGCTGACAAATTACAAGAACAACGAGAGTTGATGTGGAAGAAACTTGAAGACGTCGCAGCACAATCTGGGGGACCTGATATGGTTTTGGTTAATTGATCGGTAAGCTGCATTTCGTGCAGAACGATAATAATCCATTCATTTAGAGTAGAATCAGATTTCTTCAACTTCTAGGTTAGCTATTCTTTCATTCATTTCAATATAGAGGTTATATTATCAAATTTAGGAAGGCAAAGTGTAAGGGTGTGTCTTGCAAGTTATTTTCTTTGCTTGAAGTAGTTTTCTTATTTTATTTAATTTATATGAAGATTAATGACTTCATTTTATTTTGGGCATAATTATAAATAAAGTGCCCACTAATTTTTAAGGTGAAAGCATGGACTTCTTTCTGTGTCAAATACTTCTTTCACAATCTGAAATTAATTTTGGCATTGATATAAAGATTATATTTCCCCTTTTTTTTTCCTTTTTCTTTTTCCTTTTTTTTTTTCTGGGGTGAGCTCCCCCTATCAAATATTTTCTCTATAGTTAAACGGGGAAGAGAATTGTCTTGTAATTTTTTAGTCTTTATATTTATTTTATTTTGACTATGTTTGACTACCATTACATTCGTTTATTGAATTTCATTTCAGTCAGTGATGATAAATTCAATGTTACATCTTTTCAAAATTGGGCTTGCATTTATGTGGTCTTATGTGCAATTTTAAAAACTGTAAAACAATAAATTCAATGTTACATCTTTTCAAAATTGGGCTTACATTTATGTGGTCTTATGTGCAATTTTAAAAACTGTAAAACACTTGTGCGTTTGGTTTCCTATTTCTACCTATATTCCCAATCCTATTCTCCAAATATTGTTTGGCACATTATTTGAGAAATATTACTATATTTTTTTTAATTATATTTTTTTAATTACTTTTAGACCCCTTAAGTTTATTAATTTCATTAAATACTCCCAAAAAAAAGTTTAAAAATTAACAAAAACACCCCCACCGACCCATACTCACCAGATTCCGTCAACCACCGTTGGTGGTAGCCAGAATCTGTCACAGCGGCCTACACCATGATCGGAATTGGCCTGTAATTCATCGATCTGGCCTTTTCCGGCCAGATCTGGCCTTTAGCGACAGCCATATCTTTGGTCGTCGCTTCTTTGGCCTTTTCTAGCCGTCGACGGCCACATCTAGCCATAGATTTGGCCTTTTCTTGCCAGATCCACTAGAAAAGGTTATATCGACGCCATACCCGTCAGATTCGATCGGTATGTGTCGTTACACAATTTTTCGGCCAAATTCTGGTAGTGGTGGCCGAAACCTAGCACTGCGGGTGATAGGGGTATTTTTGTCATTTTATAATATTTTTATTAAATTAGCAAACCTAAGGGATTTTTTTATAAATTTTTAAATTTTACCTCGTAATACTCCCTTATTTAACTATCCAATATTATTCTCAAAATCCTATCCAAAATAATAAAACAAACGGACCCTTCACTTTTAAGTTTAGGATTCTAATTTGACGTTTTATTTTAAAATTCAGTTTTTTGAATTTTTTGAACCGTAACCGAACCGTTTTTTCGGTTAACCGGTTTTTCGGTTCGGTTAGCGGTTGGGCTTGGTTTTTGTATTTTTTTAAACACCCCTAGGCATAAGAAATTTAAAATACATAATTAGAAAGCGTATGGTAAAGTTTATAGAAGGAGATCCAATTTGAATATCTTTGGCAATTTTCTCCGACACATAATAAACACCCCATGTTATATACATTATTACTAGAAGAAAAATAGAAAAAATGGAAAAACCTTGAAATTGACGTACAATTTGAAATGTCACTTCAACCACCCATTTCCTATCTCCTATCACCCCTTTACTTCCAAATTTGTACCTCTACAAAGTCAATATAATATCCTTCATCATAGTTGCACATGCAAATTAGTTATATTATTAAATGCAATAAAAATGCTATCAATATTCTCTTTTTCACGTTTTTTTTTTTTTTCTCTTTTTTAACATGTATAAAAGATAGAAAAAAAATATATATCTGATATGATACCCCTAGTGGTACTCTTAGTAGGTAAGCGTTTAACATATGACTTGAAAAATAGTACAACTTTACTATTTAATGTTGAATGTATATTTATTAATAATTACAATAAATTACAACATCCACATACATTATATGCCTTTGATGTTTTGATATACCGTTGTATACTTGTATATATAATTTATAACCTGGAAGCCCACATAAACTCAAATTATGACAAATTGACCCTACAAGATAGGTTAGTGATGTTGAATCGTTGATTGATAATCATATAAATTTATAATAATTGAAGAATTTTCTTATTCTTCTTCTTTTTTTTTTTTTTTCTTTTTTTTTGGTTATCTAAAAATATAATGATTCCTATCTTCACTTTTCATTTCTATAACAATAATAATTGTAATGATAGAAGAGAACCATGGTTGGTGCTAACATACAAAATTAAAATAATTAGAAAAGACAAAAAGATTGACGAGGGTGGTGGGCACGGCGGTCCGCCGTTCCCAAATATCATTCCAAAGTAGTCGCCATCATCGCCACCAGACCTGCTGGTGCTGCTGCCTCCGGTCCCACCACCGCTGAATCCGGGATTTGAAACGCTCTCACTCCCCTCCCTGAGAAAATAATTCTTCGGTCAAAAAAGATATAACAATGACATGAATTTAGGCTAAAATACAAGGATATGGTTGGATGGATGTTGATAACTAGATTATTAATAAATAATACTATTAAGCTTTTTTAAGTGATTGAACATTGAGTAGTTGGAACAAAGTTTTCATTAAATAATTAATAATATGGTGGGAATATTATTGTCCCACCTCTCAACTCAAGTTATTCCAAGCCTAAGTTTGTGATTCTCCTAAACAAATAAAATCAAATAAAATTGCAAGTGGATCAAGAACAGAGCAGCCTGTGGGGTTTACCCTTTTCAGATACAAAACAAGATATTAAAAAAATTAAGGCTCCATGTGGATCCTACTGAAAATGGAAAAACTATTTTCTGAATGTTCAAGAAAAGTACTTGTTTAAATCAAAAACTCTGTAATACAGAGTATTTTTCAATCATTGGACGAGGGTGAACAGTTATTCAAACCATTTTAGAAAGACCGTTTATATAACTTATGCAAATGCAATCGGAACAACAATACAACATTAGTTAGAATTTGACTTCATCTTAAGAACTGAACTCTAATGTTCTATTAGCACCGCGTTCACACAGGATCATGACAGTTCAGAAGAAAACAAAAACACACACAAAAGATAAAAAAACAGAGCGTTAAAAATGATAACAATGTAAGGACCAAGAGCATATTGCAATAAAATAGTGTCAACGCCGTTAGCAACTACCAATATTCGTAATTGAATTAGGATCTTCTCTTGATCTGAACTCGTATGGTTAAGATTTACTTATTTACTATATGTTTCCTTTTCACTAACTATCAATCAGCAAATCTCTAATGCAACCATTTAACTGAACTGATAGCAAGATTTAAATGTTAAGAGCAAAAGTCAAACAGGTCACATTGGGAGTGGGAGAGGCTACTTTTATGCTTTTCCTAATTGGAGATGCTGATAGCTAGTTGTGTATATGCATAGTAAAGTCAGATCAGAAATGGGTCCAAAGTTTTGACAAAAGAATATAAAAGAGGGGCCCAAACTCTTCACTGGCTGTAAAGCACATTGCAGAGAATATAAACCAGATCAGCTTTCATATACAAACATGGCCTAGTTGGATTTACTCAGCAAAAGGCCTCCCCTTCCAACTAACTCTTTTTAACTACCCTATTTACACTTACAAACACTCCACACACCAAGTGTTTTCAGAAAGCATTACATACCCCTTACGAAGGTCGTTTTGACGCTTCTATAGGACGATTTTAAATAGAATACTTTCTGAAAACACTGAATATTGATAAACAAACTTATGCGATCCCATAAGGACCCACAAAAAAGAAAATACTTGGCGCCAAAACCTCATTATATTTTATTGCCACATGCATAATTTTGACTTTTAGGTAAATGGTTGATTTTAACAAGCTCTTTTCGTCTTTCGGGACCCCGCCCATGATTCCAAAGAATCAAATTAAACATGCAATCACTAAATAATTGCCTAAAAACCATACACATATGAGGTAAGCTTAAACGTTTTTACACTAAGCAGTTCAGACTACCAGCTCATCTCAAGGCTCAAGTTTCTCTCTTTATGAAGGGGGGCCATCTTTGTATTTATTCTATGTTCAACTTTTCTCACCAAAGTTTTTACATAATGAAGGTGGTCCCTTTAGGTTCAGAAATGGGAAAATATGAGACACTAGGGGATCCAAGGGTAAATATACAGAGAAGCTCAGAAGAAAATTGATGGGTCACCACATTCAGAGAGACATTAAAAAAGGATTTTTGCATATGCATAAGCAGCAAGGAGTGGAAAGGCAAGTAAAGGGGGTTTTATCACATACCCCTCTGAGAGCTTAGGAAGTTTCAACATCCTCATGGTTTTGCAAAAGTATCAAACACCATGGGGGCATTTGAAACTTCCTTGTCTCTCTAAACCCGAAAAATGAACTGTAAGCTAAAGCTGCTGTTTTCGGTTTATGATATTCTAAGAATCTATATGCTCTCATCAGTCATCTTCATCACGTGCCCACCATATAAATTATTGATTTTTAATTGGGTATTCTTTCTTTCAACCATTGAAAAGTAGATACTTAGCTAATTTCAACTACTTGTCTTTTTGTCCCAAATTAGTATTAAACTATCTATTATTTTAATTCATATAGCCCCCATAACTTTTTTAAATTTATCTCTTTTCTTACCAATTCATCTTGGTAGCCAGGATTTACTAATAATTCTAAGTTTGATTAATGTTTCATTTAATTGGGTTAATTTTATTCGCTCTTATAAAAGATAATTAAATCTCAGGTGCTCCAACGATTTATGAAAATTCTAAAACTACCAAAAACCCTTAGAAAATATCCAAAAAACCCACTAAATTAAAGGATTTTTATTTATTTTCAAAATATTTGAGACGCTAAAGACTTAATTATCTCTTGTGGGCGAATGAAATTTACCAACATTTTAATTTTATATTTCACTCTTTTATTCACATTATAAACTATTAGAATAAAGATTAGTTTACAATCTACTCTTTTAAACTTTCTTTAATAACTTCGACGTGACAGTTCACAATTGATCAGTTTTCAATTGAATGAAACCCATAATAAATAGGTAAGACTTATTTGAGAACTAACCAATTAAAAATTATCACATTAAAAATATAAGAGAAAGTTTGTGAGATTAAAAATATAAGAGAAAGTTTGTGAGATTAGATACAACGTCTAAGTGTAGTATTTGCCCAAACTATTAATATGTGCGACATTGCGATCCTGACTAAGGTATATTTTGATGTTTAAAAGTGCGTTAATTGTGGGCAAAGTTAATATCACTTTAAAAATATCCTACAGCTGATAGAAATGACTAAAGAACCCTTGTATGACAGTTAAATAAAGACAGTTGTTTTTTCTGTTCATAAAAGGGAGGGTATTTAAGGGAATTGAAAAAGTACCTGGGTCCACCGAGGACACCGGAGTTCATTGTCAGTTGTTCAATAAGTGCGGCAGATTTGGGCTCAACGCTCGAGGCTCTGGCGTACTGCGTGCTGAGACTCAAACCCGAGGGCACAAAGAATGCTCCATTTACCATTATGTCCCCCTCCGTCCTCCAGTTCCAACCTGTCCACTCTCTCTCGTCTGTGTCCACGCGCTTTGTCACCTATTGGCAATTATAGCAAAACACCCACATGCACACCGTCAGATTGTGGAGTCCACGCGGTCAAAAAGTGCGTAAAACAGAGTTGAAACAGACAGAAAGCCTAGGAGAGATGAGATTGTTTTACAGAAATTTAATGGCTGGCAGGCACTACTCTTTATTACTGTTTGGGTTCAGGAAAACTACATTGAAATACATTTCACAAAATATATTTTATAAAAAGAAAAGAAAAAACATTAACCAATAAATCGTATTTAAAAAATCTTTGGACCCACAGTACTGCTCTATTTCAAACAATCCCCACCACTAACAGAAAAATCCCCACCTATGACAAATAGCAAAAGAAAGTTCACAAGATACACAAAATATCAATAATGCAAAATCACTTTTCCCAAGCACTACTGATAAAAAAATAGTAGAGTAGTATTTTCCAAAAAAAAATCCCATTAAGATTCTATAAATTTTAGATGGATACAGAAGTTTTAATTTTCTATTTAAGCTGAACTTTTCACCTAGAATTTAGGTAAATCTTAATAATGGATAGTGAAATTATTTCTAATAATTCAAAGACAATAATAATAATACTATCATTAATAATAACATTAGTAGTAATTATAATTTAAAAAAAAAATACCTCCTTGGCATTATCATTCGGCGGAGCCGTGTATCGATTCCCCTGACTGTTGATCGTAGGATTGGCGCTACCACCGATAGCATACATTTCCCACGCAGTGAAATCATTGTTGACCACATGTATGTAGCCGCGTCTACACCGAGGCATACGCTGTACCAGCGCCTCACCGAAGTGATTAAACGCGATCGTTATTTGCATCCCAGTGTCCAGCTGGTAATTGTCATTGTGCCCCAACAACATCACTTCATCATGATGCGAAAAATAGCTGTTCGATATCGTGATCGCTGTAGACCCCAGTATAGCATCGATCAAACCGTCCGTGCAATAACTTAACGAACAATGATCGATCCAGATCTTCTGAGAGCCCGTGATGGAAATCCCATCGCCGTCTGATTTTCCTCTGAAGCCCACGTGAGTTGGGGACGACGCTATCATAGTATTACCTGAATTTTTCAATTGTAAGTTTTGGTTGCATTTCAAACTTGATGGACTTTATTGATGAAAGCTATACATAGATAACTAAAATGATATTTACCATTTCAGTTATAAAATTTCAGATATTTTACCTGAAGGTGTACAATGGTGAATGTGAATGTTGTGGATGATGACGTGGGAGACATATTGAAGAGTTAAGCATCCATTCCCGGTAATGTAGACGTTAGCGCCACGGCCGTCGATGGTTTTGTAGCTGTTGATGATGAGCTCGTGTTTGAGTTTGATGACCATGTTGGAAGTGAAGACTATCCAGAGAGGTTCTTCTTGAATGACAGCGTAACGGAGAGTGCCGGGGGTGGGGTTGGCCGGGTCGTGGTCGGAAGAGTCGGTGACGACGTAGATCTGACCGCCTTTGCCGCCGAGTGCTCCCTGGCCGAACCCGATGGTGCAGTCGGCTAAACGTTGGCGGTTGGTGGTGGCCCAGTTGGGGTCGCAGCGCCAACAGTCGTCAATGGGGTTACCGGTAAGACATTGGTCTTTTTGTTGAATGGACAGAGTTTGGCGTCTTGAAAGAGACGCGTTTACCATCCTGTAAAAGAAAAAAATGTAAAATGAAAAGATGTGAAAAATGAGTTAAGTGGTGTTTGTTTGGTGGGAAATAAATGGAAGAAAATGATGGTGGTCAGATAGGTTTTTTGTTTGTTTTGTGAAATGCAAGTGGAAAATGAGAGAAAATAGGACTGAAAAACAGGGGAGAACAGAGGACGCTCTTTGCCGAGAACATGTGGAGTAAAGAAAATGGGGATCTTTTCACGAGCTGAAAACAAAAATCTTATTAAATGAGTAGAAAATGAGCAAAACCTAGATAGGTTTTTTGTTTGTTTTGTGAAATGCAAGTGGAAAATGAGAGAAAATAGGATTGAAAAACAGGGGAGAACAGAGGATGCTCTTTGCCGAGAACGTGTGGGGTAAAGAAAATGGGGATCTTTTCACAAGCTGAAAACAAAAATCTTATTAAATGAGTAGAAAATGAGCAAAACCTAGATGGGTTTCTTGTTTGTTTGGGAAATGCAAATGGGAAATGAGAGAAGATAGGGTTGAAAAAGAAGGGAAAAACAAAGGAATGCTCTGTTGGTTTGCCTAGAAAATGAGGAGTAAAGAAAATGGGGATCTTTTCACAAGCTGAAAAGCAAAACTCTTGTTAAATGAGGACGAAATGAGCAAAACCCAGATGGGGTTCTTTCTTTGTTGAAGTGTAGAGTTCAAAAGACCTTACCTTTGAACATGTTGAACGACGGCTTCCGGGTCAGGGTGTTGATGAGGAAGAGTGAGGTTGTGGGAAGCCATTGCAATAGAAAAGAAAGAGAGCAACAAGCAAAGACATGCAGAGAAAATGCTGGTGATTAGAAGCATTTTTGAAGAGACTGACAATAATGGTGGTGAATATTTGTTGTTGTTATTGTTGTTGTTGCTGCTTGTCTCCCCCCTTTTGCCTCTGTAAAAAAGAAGTCTCTGAATTGTTTGATGACTTGATGTCTTTCAAAACTTAGGAGGCTGCAAATTTTGGGAAAATGTGAAGAGGGTTTATATAATAAAAACCTAGATTATAAATAATACTAATAATTAATTGGTAAGGGATACATTACTTTTTAAATGAGAAAATGTGTCATTTCTTTTCTTTTCTTGTTTGTTTATTTGGAAAGAAAGGGGAAGGCATGGCCGTGACGGGACATCCATGGAAGAAGAAGAGAATTAGAGAGCTTTCTCTCCAAATTTCTCTTGTAAAAAAAACTCAATAACTCACATTCCTACCTTGCTCTTTAATCATTCTAGAGATAGAAGATCAGAAAACTATTCTAAAAGGTTAAAAATTGTTGATAAATAGAGAGAGAGAGAGAGAGGGAGGAAAAGGCTTATCCAAAAGATGTAAAAGCCCTTCTTCTTCTACTTCTCTTCTTGGTCTCCTTTTTTTATGACGCCATTGATAATAACTGATGAGAGTTTGTTATTTATTTATTTAATAATTTGTATGGGGATTACGATTCTTTGCGGAGATGGAGTGAGTTTGGATGTTCTTATTCTTAAGAGACACTCCTCGTGTGTAGACAAAACCTGTTCACTTTTGTTGGAGGAGAAAGGGTTGAAGTTTAGATTTGGAAATCAGCAAGATTCGGCACTGCTTTCAGTAAATTATTGAGCTAAGCCTTCTAGTTTCAGAAAGTTTTTCCTTTCATTGAAGAAAATAAAGGAAACAAAAATTTCACCTTCCTCTAGCTTTGGGAAGTATTGACACTTTCAACTCTTGTCAAAGGCTGATTATAATAATACTTGCTTAATATTACTTACCCTTTATGAAAAGAAAGTTGAACTTAAATGAGGTTATGCTTCTATTATATAGGAAGAATTTCTATCTCGACTAACAATGGTTTCAATACACACACATAAATTAATTGGAATAAATTAAAAGAATAATTCAAGAACTTACATGGTTCAAGGTTAACTAACCATCGGTCAATATCAAAGTTTCCATCTAAGGTTTTACTAATGTTTTAAAACCATTGGCATCGACAAATAGTGTCTATTTTCGTTGACTGTGATTTTTAGTCGATTCACTCACCGGAAATCGACGTTGTTGCCACCATTGCACTCACCAGTCATTCCTCTTCAAAAGCCTTAACATTCTAACATTCAATTATTCATGAATTGATGTTCTAATTTCTAAAGTTTTACTAAATAGAAAAATTTGTAACCCGACCTGATAAAGGCTCCGGGTCATAGTTCAACCCGTCAGGTCGGGTCAGGTTCCTAATCACTGGGAAGTAGAATCTCAAGTAAATAGAAAATTCACAAAAGGAAAACGAGCCACTTTCCTCACACTTAATTTGATTAGGGCTTACAAGAATTTACCTCGCTGGAAACTTAGGAAATTATGTATTAGTTGTGATTAAATTGAGTAATATGATAAAATGTTATGAAAAGAAAAGGACAAACTTAGTGTTATGCCTAAAAAGTCACGCTTATATCAGCTCAATAAATGTCTTTTTGTACTAGCTGTCAAGCTCATATTTCTTCAAAGATATTCATACCAACCCTATCTCATTTCAAGAGATGAATGGACGAGAGTCTTCCATGTGTCAAGGCAACTTGCAGAACACTCATTACATTGAGTTCAAAGGTATATAAATTGGCACTTCTCTTCCCGAAAAATGATGCTGAGCATATGAGAGCTAGGCATAGATTTGAGTTCAATTCTTTTTCTCTGTAAACACTGTATTTCTTCATCTTTGTATGCCTTACGGGCAATATCTTATAAATAGTCAAAGATCAATAAAATAACAGTGGATGTAGGAGTCGCTTGTTTAAGCATCCGAACCACTATAAAAACCTCTCTTGTTAGCATATTATTTATGTTTTTTGTAACATATATAATCTCAGCTCCATATTCAAATCTTATGGATCCATCACGTGTAATTTCTAAGACCCTCTTAGCATTTTGCACATGCGAGTCATTGGCATCCAAAATCATGCGTCAACAGTTTGGTGGTCCATGCAGGTCTCAAACCTGTGTTAGAATTCTCTGATCGCGTGGCCAGATCACACGCGTCAGAGTTCTCCGACCGCATGGCCAGATCCCAGATTGCACGCTTCAGAATTCTCCAATCGCGTGGCCAGATCGCACGCATCAGAGTTCTCCGATCATGTAGCCAGATCGCAGATCGCACGCGTCAGAGTTCTCCGATCGCGTGGCCAGATCGCAGATCACAGGCATTAGAATTCTCCAATCGCGTGGCCAGACTCCAATCGCGTGGCCAGATCGCAGATCGCACCTGTCAAAATTCTCCAATCGCGTGTCCAGATAGTAGATCGCACCTGTTAGAATTTTTCAATCGCATGGCCAGATCGCACGCTCAGGTCGTCCTCATCTTCTGCTTCAGATCACTGGTCTTTAGCTTCAAATCGCGTGTTCAAATCGCTGATCTCTTGTTCTCATATTGAGCTCTCAGGTCGAGCTCGTTATGCTCTCAATTTGAGCTCATTATGCTTTGAGGTCAAGCTCGTTATGCTCTCAGGTTGAGCTCGTTATGCTCTAAGGTCAAGCTTGTTATGCTCTCAAGTAGAGTTCGTTACGCTCTGAGGTCGAGCTCGTTATGCTCAAGTCGAGCTCATTATGCTCAGGTCGACCTCGTTATGCTCTGAGGTCGACCTCGTTATGCTTTCAGGTAGAGCTCGTTATGCTCTCAGGTCGAGCTCCTATCAAATCGTGATCAACTTCTAGCTCCCAGATCGCGATCAGCTCCCAGCTCTCTGCACTAGATCGCGCCAGGAATAGTTCGAGCTCTTCAGTTCGAGACTACAGCCTATAGTGCAATAGCCATTCAGATCAAAGACTTGAGTTTCTGAAGCACGATTACGCACTCCAAAAACTGGGGGGCTTTTGTTACGCCTAAAAAATCATGCTTATATCAGCCTAATAAATGTCTTTTTGTACTAGCTGCCAAGCCCATATCTCCTCAAAGATATTCATACCAACCTTATCTCATTTCAAGAGATGAATGGACAAGAGCCTTCCATGTGTCAAGGCAACTTGCAAAACACTCATTACATTGAGTTCAAATGTGTATAAATTGGCACTTCTCTTCCCAAAAAAAGAGGTTGGGCGTATGAGAGCTAGGCATAGATTTGGACTCAATTTTTTCTCCCTGTGAACACTGTATTTCTTCATCTTTGTATGCCTTACGGGCAATATCATAGAAATAGTCAAAGATCAATAAAATAACAGTGGATATAGGAGTTGCTTGTTTGAGCATCCGAACCACTATAAAAACCTCTCTTGTTAACCTATTATTTATGTTTTCTGCAACATATATAATCTCAACTCCATATTCAAATCTCATGGATCCATCACGTGTAATTTCTAAGACCCTCTTAGTACTTTACACGTGCGAGTCGTTGGCATCCAAAATCATGCGTCAACACTTAGAATACAGTTTTGAAAAATGCTTTTAAAATTGTTAAAAATGTTTTTCTTGTTATTCTTCTCATTGCCAACCACCTATTATTCTCACTGAATTTCAAATGCTGATTCCAGCAATGTTTTTCTTTAATTAATCATTTCTCTAACCACTCTTAACATTTTTTTTTAGTAAACGACTTTTTCCCACCCAAGGTTTTCCTTAATGACACTTTCCCACCTAAAAAGTTTCAAAATACCATTTTCTCACCCAAAGTTTATATTCTGTTAATACCAAAAATACAATTCACTTTCTTACCAATGTTCAACGAGTTACTAGGAGTTAAGGTAAGAGGTGTTTTTTAAAGTGGAGGCCGATGTTCAATGGTAAGAAAGTGAATTGTATTTTTGGTATTAACGGAATATAAACTTTGGGTGAGAAAATGGTACTTTGAAACCTTTTGAGTGAAAAGGTCATTAAGGCAAACCTTGGGTGGGAAAAAGTTGGTCTACTTTTTTTTTTTATGAGAGAGAGAGAGAGAGGGAGGAAAAGGCTTATCCAAAAGATGTAAAAGCCCTTCTTCTTCTACTTCTCTTCTTGGTCTCCTTTTTTTATGACGCCATTGATAATAACTGATGAGAGTTTGTTATTTATTTATTTAATAATTTGTATGGGGATTACGATTCTTTGCGGAGATGGAGTGAGTTTGGATGTTCTTATTCTTAAGAGACACTCCTCGTGTGTAGACAAAACCTGTTCACTTTTGTTGGAGGAGAAAGGGTTGAAGTTTAGATTTGGAAATCAGCAAGATTCGGCACTGCTTTCAGTAAATTATTGAGCTAAGCCTTCTAGTTTCAGAAAGTTTTTCCTTTCATTGAAGAAAATAAAGGAAACAAAAATTTCACCTTCCTCTAGCTTTGGGAAGTATTGACACTTTCAACTCTTGTCAAAGGCTGATTATAATAATACTTGCTTAATATTACTTACCCTTTATGAAAAGAAAGTTGAACTTAAATGGGGTTATGCTTCTATTATATAGGAAGAATTTCTATCTCGACTAACAATGGTTTCAATACACACACATAAATTAATTGGAATAAATTAAAAGAATAATTCAAGAATTTACATGGTTAAAGGTTAACTAACCATCGGTCAATATCAAAGTTTCCATCTAAGGTTTTACTAATGTTTTAAAACCATTGGCATCGACAAATAGCGTCTATTTTCGATGACTATGATTTTTAATCGATTCACTCACCGGAAATCAACGTTGTTACTACCATTGCACTCACCGGTCATTCCTCTTCAAAAACCTTAACATTTTAACCTTCAATTGTTCACGAATTGATGTCCTAATTTCTAGGGTTTTACTAAATGGAAAAATTTGTAACCCGACCCGATGAAGGCTCCGGGTCATAGTTCAACCCGTTGGGTCGGGTCAGGTTCCTAATCACTGGGAAGTAGAATCTCAAGTAAATAGAAAATTCACAAAAGGAAAACGAGCCACTTTCCTCACACTTAATTTGATTAGGGCTTACAAGAATTTACCTCGCTGGAAACTTAGGAAATTATGTATTAGTTGTGATTAAATTGAGTAATATGATAAAATGTTATGAAAAGAAAAGGACAAACTTAGTGTTATGCCTAAAAAGTCACGCTTATGTCAGCTCAATAAATGTCTTTTTATACTAGCTGTCAAGCCTATATCTCTTCAAAGATATTCATACCAACCCTATCTCATTTCAAGAGATGAATGGACGAGAGTCTTCCATGTGTCAAGACAACTTACAAAACACTCATTACATTGAGTTCAAAAGTGTATAAATTGGCACTTTTCTTCCTGAAAAAGGAGGTTGGGCATATGAGAGCTAGGCATAGATTTGAATTCAATTATTTTTTCTCTGTAAACACTGTATTTCTTCATCTTTGTATGCCTTATGGGCAACATCATAGAAATAGTCAGAGATCAATAAAATAACAATGAATGTAGGAGTCGTTTGTTTGAGCATCCGAACCACTATAAAAACCTCTCTTATTAGCCTATTATTTATGTTTTCTGTAACATATATAATCTCAGCT